TGCGCAACGACGTCGCCCACAAACAGTATGGGTGTGCGATGTCCACGAGAAAGCCGTATTGCTACAACAAACCCGCTTATCACCGGCACTAAGATGTTAATTGTATACCTCCATCGACCAGAACCACAAGAATGTGTCGAATCAGGCGCAGCACACCCGCAGATCCATCACAAGACGCAATACCGCAAGTAGCAGTAAGCATCAATGCAACTATCATACGGGTGGCGCCCCCTCACAACACACCCACATGACTCCTATCGATTTTGGCAACAAAGTTTTTATTGTTGTTATATAAAAAATATCACCAACGTATCATAGTAGCACGCTACTAAGACGCCAATGAACAAAACTCCACGTATCATAGCGTTAATGCACTAAGACATGAAGTTGAGTATGCCTGCTACACTTAAAAGTGCTACCAAACACACTCATCATCCCAATCCGAAAGATAGACGACACATCGCTATGCGCAACGACGTCGCCCACAAACAGTATGGGTGTGCGATGTCCACGAGAAAGCCGTATTGCTACAACAAACCCGCTTACCACCGGCACTAAGATGTTAATTGTATACCTCCATCGACCAGAACCACAAGAATGCGTCGAATCGGGCGCAGCACACCCGCAGATCCATCACAAGACGCAATACCGCAAGTAGCAGTAAGCATCAATGCAACTATCATACGGGTGGCGCCCCCTCACAACACACCCACATGATCCCTATCGACTTTGGTAACAAAGTTTGTATTGTTGTTATATAAAAAATATCACCAACGTATCATAGTAGCACGCTACTAAGACGCCAATGAACAAAACTCCACGTATCATAGCGCTAATGCACTAAGACATGAAGTTGAGTATGCCTGTTACACTTAAAAGTGCTACCAAACACACTCATCATCCCAATCCGAAGGACAGACGACACATCGCTATGCGCAACGACGTCGCCCACAAACGGTATGGGTGTGCGATGTCCACGGGAAAGCCGTATTGCTACAACAAACCCGCTTACCATCGGCACTAAGATGTTAATTGTATACCTCGATCGACCAGAACCACAGGAATGCGTCGAATCAGGCGCAGCACACCCGCAGATCCATCACAAGACGCAATACCGCAAGTAGCAGTAAGCATCAATACAACTATCATACGGGTGGCGCCCCCTCACAACACACCCACATGATCCTTATCGACTTTGGTAACAAAGTTTGTATTGTTGTTATATAAAAGATATCACCAACGTATCATAGTAGCACGCTACTAAGACGCCAATGAACAAAACTCCACGTATCATAGCGCTAATGCACTAAGACATGAAGTTGAGTATGCCTGTTACACTTAAAAGTGCTACCAAACACACTCATCATCCCAATCCAAAATATAGACGACGCATCGCTATGCGCTACTACGCCGCCCACAAACGGTATGGGTGTGCGATGTCCACGGGAAAGCCGTATTGCTACAACAAACCCGCTTACCACCGGCACTAAGATGATATGTCTAGGACACATCGGTTAGCGAGTCCAAGTTTACCTCGGACCAATTGCTCGTGAAGCAACACACACGCCACTATAATATTCCTTTTCAAGTCCCTAATAGGGACTAGTCATTTTGCTACAGTACTAGAAGCAGTCGGTCACCTGACCACCCCATACAATGCTTATGCATCAATGAGACCTCCTATAATATTGCTTTTGTATCATAGACCATACTTTCATAAGTCATGTATATATAGGATTCGAACCCACGACCCTACTATTGTAATGCATATTAATCATAGAGACCTCCTATAATATTGCTTTTGTATCATAGACCTTACTTTCATAAGTCAATCATATATAGGATTCGAACCCACGACCCTACTATTGTAATGCATATTAATCATAGAGACCTTCTATAGTATTGCTTTTGGATCATAGACCTTACTTTCATAAGTCATTAATATATAGGGTTCGAACCCACGACCCTACTATTGTAATGCAAATTCGTCATGGAGACCTTCTTTAGTATTGTTTTTGTATCATTGAGTTTAATATCATAAGTCCCTAATACAGGACTAGTCATTGTGCTACAGTACTTCAGGCAGTCGGGCTCCCGACCACCCCATATATATGTACAACTGCAGGTATGTACCTCCGGCAGCTTCCTCCATACAAGACGTCTATACGTGAACACCTTCCATAACTTAGAAAAAATTTTCTTTTATACACGAACACCTCCCATGACAAACAATTTTTAACAAATTTTCTAATTATCTTATAAACGTTATTTAACTTAATTTTATAATATTTTTTGACTTGTATTTCTATTATTTATCTTATTTTAAATATTTTTTTCAAGTTTTTAAATAAATTTATTTATTACGAAAAACAAATAATTTGCCTTTAATTTACTATGTTATTGGGATAATGTCTGAAATATATTAACTTTATGTTTATTAATTTAACTTAATTGCTTAATATATATCTTTTAAGACTATTTTTGACGCCCCTTTATATTGATTTTTTGTATCTCCTCAGTTTCAAGGCACTCCCCTTGTTGCCTCAGCCAGTATCGGAATCCTCGGCGTCGACATATCGTGTGACGTGCAGTTTCGTGGTAACTTGGAAGAGAAGGCCAAATTGGCCTCCAAAAAGCTTGGCGTGCTCAGCAGAGCGGGACAGTATTTCATGCCGGCACACCGCCTGCAACTTTACAAGGCGCAGGTTCGGCCGCACATGGAATACTGTTCCCATCTCTGGGCTGGGGCTCCCCAGTACCAGCTCCTTCCACTTGACCATATCCAGCGCAGAGCGGCTCGAATCGTCGACGACCGAGTGCTTTCCGATTGGTTTGATTCACTGGCGCTGCGAAGAGATGTTGCATCTCTTTGCATTTTCTTTCGCATATACCATGGAGAGTGCTCTGATGAATTGTTCGGATTAATCCCAGCCGCCAAATTTCGTGAACGCACTACACGGCAAAACCGTCCCGATACCATCCACATCATCTGGATGCTTGACGGTCCACCACTGTACGTTTACAAAGGAGTTTTCTTTCGCTTACGACCTCTCTGTGGAATAGTTTACCACCGGCGATTTTTCCGGACCGATACGACCTGGGTACCTTCAAGAGAAGAGATTACTCCTTTGTAAAGGGCCGGCAACGCACCTGCAATTCCCCTGGTGTTGTGGTTGATCACGGGCGGCGGTAGTTACTTAACATCAGGTGAGCCGCCTGTTCGTTTGCTCCCTCTTCTATAAAAAAAATGCTACCTCATCCTCCTTTACAGCCTTGTCGTTCTCAAGGGGTTCCATGTGATTAAGGTAAGCTTGTATATTGTTTAGCTTGTTAACATCCTTTGGTTGGTGTAGTAATAATGGTGTCAGCCATGGCATATCTTACAAGACATTTGAAGACAACTTTCGATAGACGACGATTTCGTTGCAGCATGTCCTGGAGCCTGAAGCCGTGTAGTGGCGATTGAGAATATCCACTACCCCATATCTTCCGGTGGGTGTCGTAAGAGGCGAATGAGGGAGACAGGCGGGAGATGGGCAGCAGCATCTTCCTGATAACAATATAATAAAAAAACTGCGGTTGCCAACCCTCTCGCTAAGCGTGGCAACTATGGCAAATATCCCCCCCATGAGCAAAGACGCAAACAAACGGCCCCCAGTCTCCGGCGGCCACGCTATTCCTGGCTACGGTGGCGACCATGGTAACGGCGGTGTAGGGGGACTTAAGAATCTCCGGTGGAGGTTTGTTTGCCACCTACGAGGTCTCGACCTGGCAACATATAACGCACGCACCCTGAGGACTGACGAGAAGATACTGGAGCTTGAAGAAGAAGTAGACAAGTTGCGCTGGCATATTATTGGATTATCCGATGTCCGAAGAGAGGGGGAGGACACGGTAATCCTCGAGTCCGGCAACTTGTTCTATCACCGAGAGGGCAACTATCTGTCCCAAGGAGGTGTCGGATTTATCGTCCATAAGTCTCTCGTCAAGAACGTTGTAAGGAGTGTGTCTAAGAGGGTCGCGTACCTGCTACTCAGAATCACCAAACGGAATTCGCTGAAGGTCATACAGGTTTACGCACCAACCTCGGCAAATCCCGATGAGGAGGTGGAGGAAATGTAAGAGGATATTTCTAGAGCCATGCATTCCTACAAAACCCACTACACAGTGTTGATGGGAGACTTCAACGCAAAAATAGGCACAAGAGAAAGCGGAGAGCCGAAGTTACGGAAATTTGGGGTAGGGCAACGGAACCGTAGGGGCCAGCAGCTGGCTGACTTTATGGAGAAAGAGGGACTTTTTATGATGAACTATTTCTCCTAGAAGCGGCCCCACATGAAGTGGACGTGGTCGAGCCTCGACGGTTCCACAAAAAGTGAGATTGACTTCATTATGACGACCAGACGCTAACTGTTCAGTGATGTCTCAGTGTCACCGAATGGTTAGAGGCACACTGAACTTAAACGTTAAGTTGGAGATGTCTCGTCTAGTGAAGTCAACGCTCCGTCCCCCTCGTGCGCTAATCCCTGGTCCTGAAAACTTTCAGCTCGAATTACAAAACCGTTTTCAGGGCCTAGAAGACTGCAATACAGTGGACGATATGAATGACAAGCTAGTGGAAACTGTCAAACTGTCAAAGCTGAAGACTGAGTGTGGCAGCATCGTTTCCGGTACACCTGAGATTTTGAGTGAGATTGAGAGGTTTTATACAAGCGGGATTTAGAAAGGGAATGGGATGTACAGATCAAGTCTTTTCCATGCGCATGATCGCGGAGAAGTTTCTGGCCAAAAACCAAAAGGTTTTTTGTGCGTTCATGGACTTGGGAAAGGCCTATGACAGAGTGGATAGGGATTTGCTATGGCAAACACTGAACTCATTTGGGTTGAGCGCTGGCTTGATACAGGCATTGGAGTCTCTTTATAGGGAGTCTCTATATATACAAAGTACAATTGTAGACCTCAAAGAGCAAAATTATGAGTTAAAACGAAGTGTGGAGCATATGTCTAGCAAATATGACGATTTACTTACAATAATAGCTAATTTGGAAAAAGAAAGAAAAGAGGACAAACGGCGCATGGCTTTAAAGGAGGATAGATTGGAAACTATGGAGCGTAAAATGCGTGCATCGGGGATTGAAGTACGAAATATTTCTAAATCAACGGGTGAAACAAAAGATTTTTTGTTTAACATTATTAAAAAGACCGGAAAGGCCGTTAATATTAGTATAGAAGACTCCGAATTGAAAGATATATATAGATTGAACTCCAAGGACAGTTCTGGTCCGATTATAGTGGAACTAAACTCCGTTATCAGCAAGGAAAAAATACTTAGAGCTGTAAAAAGTTTTAATAAAAACAAACCAAGAGACGAGAAATTAAATACTTCTCACCTACAACTGCAACAACCAAAGAAACCAGTGTTTATATCAGAAACTTTAACTCAAAAGACTCAAAAATTATTTCAACTCGCAAGAGCATTCAAAAAGGCACACAGTTTTATGTACTGCTGGACTCTAAACGGAACTGTTTACCTACGCAAAGATGAAAAATCCAGCCAGATACGAATTAACAGTGAAGCCGATCTCGAAAATTTAAGGAAGACTCAATGACTAGAATTATCATTTATTTTTATTATTTATTCAAAATTTTACTGTTATAATATTTCCTTTATGTTACTTTATCATAGTACTAGCGGTTTACATTACACAAATACACTATAACACTTCATACATATTTTTACACTACAAAAATTATTTTTTTACCAAAAAATCCTCACGGAATTACCGTAAGAATGCTATGTTGTATAAAACAAATTTTGATATTTTGTTAATATTATTGCTTTCTTTTTTCTTCTATTTCGTGCCGTATACGGAAATAATTAAGAATAAATTCATTAATTTAATTTTAAACATATATTTTGTTAATAGTTTTAATTTATATAATAGGTACAATTTATCATGCCTTCTATGCCTTCTAAATTACAAAAAAGTAATAGAACTTATCGGAGTCCATATTAATCACATTATTTTCTTTGTTCAGAGCCAGATTAGCCTGCTTACTCTTGAATCCAATAACAATTTCGATCCAATATCAATTTCAATCCAATGTCAATCCAATGTTGACAAATTAGCGTACTCTTGAAAACAATTTTGACAACATTGGATTGAAATCGGAATTTCGCTCGGATTGGCCAAAAGTTTTGTTGTACCACATGAAGTTAGCTGCGTTACTCTAAGCAACAGGCATGTTTTATTTATCGTTAAACCGGTAAAGTAAAAATAAATCCTTTGTAACTTTCATAAACGAGCGTTTAAGTAGTAAAAATACTTAATAAATGGTGTAATTCGTCAAACAAACATCTTTTCATACAATTCTTTTAAAAAAACGCTATATTTGCGAGTTTTAATTAATTATAAGGCTGTATAGGAGCGTGTCTTTGCTTCATTTTTTATTGTCAGAAAAAAATTGTTATCACGACGATCATGAAACAAAGTAAACAAATATCAACTTTCGAAGAACTCTTTTTAAGTTTAAAGGTGAAGTGCTTTTTTAAGTATGTGTACAGTGAATTACTAATAGACCTTTCAATTTGGGTATAACTATAAACAGTTTGAAATAGTTCATTACCGCATTAACACAATTAAGCATCATATGAAACAGACGAAATGGGCACTGTTAGCTAATTAGGAGGAACAAAATAAATAATAATGGTCAAGGATAGGAAGTAAGTATAACAATGTTTTTTAAGAATTTTATAAGTAGATGTTTTTTAATTTAGATTCCGAAAAAAAGCAATTTCAGTGTTTTATTTTTCGTATAACCGGTGAAGTTGCTGCTAGTTGTTGAAATCCATCGTAACTTTCACAAATGAGCATTTAAATAACAAAAATACATAATGAAGTGTTTTTCGACAAACTTAACATCAGTTCACACGGTTCTTGTAAAAACAGCTTGATTTATTAACTTTGAATGTTTCTTTAGGCTGTAAAGTGCTTTCCTTTCCCTTTTTTACTATAGGTACTTGAAAATAATCCATAACTCATTCCTCTCATTCTTAAAATAGGGTTCTGTGATTTTAAAATAAGTTTTTATTTTTATATATGTTGAAGTACTTAAAGACTGGTGCAGTTTGGTACTGATTATTTCGAAATTGTTCACCATCAATTTAACATTATAACATGACTAATCGTCCAACTCTAGCACAAATTGAAACCTTAGTTGAATTTTTAGAACAAAACGTCGGAATTGCGAAAGGTCTGCTACGGACAAATCAAGCAAAAATGGAAATAAAGAGGCAATGGGCATCTGTAGCTATAACTTTAAATTCATTGGGAGGAGCAAACAAAGATGGGCAAGGTTGGGCTAAAGTAAGTCTTAAGTTTATATAAAATATAAATACTGTTTTTTTACCTGTTAGGTATATTTAAATAAATTATCCATCGTTTTTAGTATTGGGCAGAGAAGAAATGTGCCTTGAAAAAATTGTGTGCTCAGCACAGCAATTCCATGAGACGCACTGGTGGTGGTTCTGCTGATGACCTGTCCATGTTATCAGACTTGGATAAGAGATTGGTGGCAGTTATGGGTGGTCAAGAGTTTGCTGTTGGAGATTCTCAACTTGCAGTTGATCCTTTTCACCACACGGTAATTATTCATAAAGATCTTGTAAACATAGTTAAACTTTTAAATATAATGTTTGTTAGTCTATAAGAAAATTTGTATTATCTATGTAGCCTTATAAATACATCTTTATACTCATATGTTTGTAAATTTTAGGAACATCAAATGACACAATCAGTGCCTGCGGCTTCACCAGCAGAAAATGTAAATTTAGGTTTAGAAAATCAAGCAGCGGTGATAGGAAGTTGTACTTCCCCTATTCCTGGCACCTCCCAGGATACACTACAATCACCTCCGCGTAAAAGTAAGTAATTTTTTTTTATAGAAGAGTAGAAAATAAGCATGTGGCTCACCTGATAGTGGTGACCGCCACCCACGAACAACTGCAATACCAGAGTTACAGGTGCTTTGCCGGCCTTTAATTTTCTAACATTAACCAAAACTAGAATGTGACTAACATTAACCAAAATTTAGCACCATTTTTAATTTATGAAATTTAAGAATATTATGACCTTGCTTTATGGTTGGGGGCCTAGGACCAGCAGTGCACTTGTAAAGGGCTGCAATCATGGTGATGATGATATAATATATTATAGTCCCTTTAGCTTCATGTGGTAACAGACTTGCAATTTGTAGACATTATACTTATAAGTTATAAGTGACTTAAAAAGGTTCACCCACTGATTTTTTGTCAACCTTTCATTACTTAAATAAATAAGTAACATGTTAAGCATGTCATTTTCTTAAGTGGGTAAAAGTGTTTCAATAAGTTTTAAAGATATTTGTAAACTCTTGTGATGCTTAAAACTTTCAATCTAAAATATTCGATCTCAATATTAAATGCCCATATTTTATGGTCATGGACTGGATGCATTTATATCAGAAACATCACTTTTAAAATATTAAATATTATTAAAAATAATATTAAATGTTTTAATTTCAGAATCAAAACTTAAATCCATGCCACATGTCAGGCAATGTCGTTCTGTCACAAGAAATAATAAAGACATGGAACGGCTGGTACAAATTGAGGAGCAGCGTGAAAATGTGTACCATCAATGCAACCCAAAACAGCTGGTATATTAAATTCTTCATAAAATCTGAAATATATTTGTAGTACTATTAACAAAGTTACAAAACAATAAATATTTTAAAATAAGTACATGCAAGTATTTGTACTTTCGTTTTATAGCATCTCTTTCTTGACGTGTTTGCGGAAATCTTATCCATTTTCCAAGGATATTGGGATTGTTTAGAGCATCAGTCACTTCTACGATGGCACGAGATACAGATTGCTGAGACATCAATGTGCCATATGTTCCACCAACTAATTTTTGGTAACTTCCAGTAGCATAGAAGGACAAAGCTATCAAAATCTGCAAACGCAGTAAATAATATATATAAAATTACAACATAAAAGAACCTATATAATTTTATGTTAAATAGACACCTATAATAGGAATAAGCAAACAGAGTTAAATCACTCACTTTATGTTTAGATGATATAGCACTTCTTCTTTTCGGAGATTGCATATACGGCTTTAATTCGTTCATTATCTCTTCAAAAAGTCCTTAGTCACACGGTAATTAACCCTAAACTCATCATCACTCATGGAAAAAGCTTTGTCCATATATCGCATCATCCGTCGTTCATTTCGCCTTTGTTTTAATTGTAATGCACGGTTACGTCGTAGAATAATGACCGGAAGAGCTAAACGTGCCATAATTTTATTGAAAAAAATAATATACTTGCAGAAAACAAATGATTAATTTCACCACAATTTCTAAAACGTTACTGTTTTGCTATTGCCTTAATTCCAATTACAACCCAATGTCAAACACAATACGCTGCTGTCAACTAACTGTCAAAAGTGCGTCCGGAGTACCGATTTTGCTTGGACAATTTCAATTCCAATCCCAATTAGTTCACACAGTCACCACGCAATACTAAACTAATTTAGCGCTAGAGTCGCTTTCAAGAGTACCAAATGTCATAATTCCAATCCCGATCGATCGGAATTGTTTTCAAGAGTAAGCCAGTAGGATGCAACAACTTTTGCAGAAATATTTTTTTATTAAGCAAAACCAAATAACTTATATAAAAAGACGGCTATCAACGTAGAAAATTTAACAATCGATATTGATAACATCTCTGTGGCAAAATCATACAACTGTAGCACAGAACACTGTAATAATATTATTCAGAATGTCAGTTTTAACTCAGAATATACGAAGCGTTTATAAAAATATAGATGGGTTAATAGCACAATTGGAAATATTTACTTTTGAATGTGATATTCTAATTCTACGGAATGCTGGTTAAGTAGTCACAAACCTCCTCCACTTATTGATAATTACACGTGTTATTTTTCTAAAAAAACCTTAAACCAAAATGACGGTATAATTATTTATGTAAAATCTGGAATAGATTGTATTGTGGAGGAGCCAGATTCGATTGGCGGTAACTTCCTTTTGCTAAAGACGGAACTAAATATTGCAATATTAGCCACATACAGATCGCCATCGTTTTATAGTATTGACAGCTTTTTAAACTCAGTTGAACATGTTCTTCAACCCATTAAGGCAAAAAATATATATCTTTTAGGTGATGTCAACATTGACATTAAACCTAACAATGCCGATAAAAATAGCTCATCTTATTTAAATCTTATGGCAGAACTAGGTCTTCAACCAGGACATACTTTTCCAACGAGAGTCAATAATTGTTTGGACCATGTCATGATTAAAACCTATTTGCCTGCCACAGTAGTTGTTCTGAATTCAACTGTTACTGACCATAGTTCTGTGCTTCTAAACCTTTCTTTTAATAACGACTATACTCATAAAGTAAGCTATAATACAAAAATTGATTACAATGAAGTTATTAAAAATCTGTCTACAATTGACTTTTCTTTTATAAATACCAACTGCAATGCAGATAACGCTGCCTCACAATTAGTTGAAAAAATATCTTCGATAGTAAAATTTTGTACTCAAGAAAAAGTGATTACTAGGCGGCAAAGAATTCTTAAGCCATGGGTTACACCCAGAGTTCTACGGTGCATTCGCCATAGAGATAAATTGCATAAAAACCTTAAAAAGGACCCCAATAATAAGATTTTGGTAGTTTCGTATAAGCGATATAGAAGTTTTTGTAATTCTCTCCTAAGAAGGCTTAAATTTGAATATTAAAGATCTCTTCTTAAAAAGGCAAAAGATAATAAACAAAAATGGAAAGCTATTAAAATTATTACAAATCAAAATACTATTAATGCACCAGCAAAAGAGTTGCTGAATAATATAGATAATAAGTCTTGTACAATTGAGAGTATAAATGATTTTTTCTCAAACGTTGGTAAAATTTTGGGAAACAAAATAAGTCAAGACAAAACCGAAAACTATCGGTACAACTCCAATTTATCTTGTGTTGTCAATTCTTGCGTTCTCATTCCACCCGACGAAGCAGAAATAGAGTCTATTATTATCAACCTTAAAAATGATTGCGCTGTAGGCTGGGACTCTATCTCTAGCAAACTTTTAAAGCTTGCTAGAAATATTCTTGTTCCGCCTTTAAATAAATTATTTAATATCTGTCTAGATCAGGGTATATTTCCAAAAGTTTTTAAAAAATCCATTATAACTCCAGTACACAAGAGTGGCTCAAAAGATAATATAAATAATTACCGGCCTATATCTGTATTGCCTGCTCTCTCAAAAATTTTGGAAAAAGTTTTAAATACTCGGCTGATGAATTTTTTAGAAAAGAATAATATTCTGTCACGTCATCAATATGGCTTCAGGTCGGGAAAAAGTACAGAAAATGCTGTTAGTGACTTGGTTGATTACGTTACCACTAAGCTTGATAATAAGCAAAAATTTATTGGTGTTTTTCTAGATCTAGCCAAGGCATTTGACACTGTTTCGATTCCCTCTCTTCTTGACAAGCTAGAGAGAGTAGGAATTCGTGGTGTAGCGCATTCCATCTTTAAGGACTTTCTTTGTGATCGTGTGCAGTATGTTAAGATCGATCGAATAGTAAGTTCTTATGACGCAGTTACAAGCGTACTGCGTCGAAGTCGAAGCATCAAGTATGCTTCGACTTCGACGAAGTCTCTTCTTGGTTTACATTAATGATCTTTGCCAACAGCCATTATATAATGGACAAATATTTACGTACGCTGATGATACGGCGCTGGTATTTTATGGAGAGACTTGGGATAAGGCTTGTAAAAATGTTGAAGTTGGAATACACAAGGTAAACTGCTGGCTAAGATTGAATTTACTTACTCTAAACCTGTCAAAAACAACTTTTATCCAGTTTAATATCAAGGAAAACCACACTGAAAATATATCAATCAATCTACATTGCTGTAAATTACTGAAAGATCGACAATGTTCATGCCATATGCTCCATAAATCTGATAATGTCAAATACCTAGGCGTTATTTTAGATTGTAAAATAAACTGGCTTAGTCATATAGATCTACAAACCTCTAGAGTAAGGAAGCTAATTTGGGCGTTTAAACATCTAAGGTATGTGGCTGATTTTGATGCACTTCGCATAGTATATTACGCGCTTGCTCAGTCAGTAATAAACTATTGTATTAGAGTTTGGGGTAGTGCATGCAAAACCCACATTTTGCGACTTGAAAGAGCCCAAAGGTCGTTGCTTAAAACGATGACTTTTAAGACGTTTAGATTCCCAACTAGAACACTCTATAGAGATTGTCAAGTTCTTACTGTTCGGCAGTTATACATTTTACAACTTATAAGCAGACAACATTTTGCTACTGCATACGACAAAGACAAAATAGAAAGAAAACGTACAATAGTTAATGTCTTGACTCCAACCGCTTTCCGCACGTCCTTTGCCAGGCGCCAACATGGTTATCTTAGTGTACATTTGTATAACAAAATAAACAAAATTCTTGACTTTTATCCACTTCCACTTTACAAATTTAAAAAGAAGGTAGAAAAATGGCTATTATCATTAAATTATGAAGAAACGGAGGACTTGTTTAATGTTATAATGTAATCCGCTTGATGAATCCTGTTATTTTTCATTTTATTTATAAGTACATATAAAACACATGCATACACAAACGCAAAAATACGCTTGCTGACACACACACGCACATATACACACCCACACATACACACACACACGTACACATGAACCCTAACATACTCAACACACAGATAGTACGTAAATTAAGTAGTATATTATTTTTTATACCTTTTGAAACATTCTTGTTATTTTGAACCTTTATTAATTTATTAGGTTTGTTAATTTATTAGGTCATAAAATTGGGAGAGGGCGCTGATTGCTGAGATACAGGTATAATTCCTAGTTCAGCAATCAGAGACTTCATATATTCACTGTATAATTATCAATAAAGCTTATGGGGTATCAATATAGTTTTCTCATCTGGTTGGGTTCTATAAATATATAATTATAAATGAAAATGAAAAGATAAATCTACATAAATATCAATAACATAAACTAAATATAAAAATACATAAATAAATAAAAGCCCAACCAGATGGAGGCCTTCGGCAGGGGAGACCAAACGGCCGAGGGTTAGGAGGAAAGGGAAAGAAACCGGCGGACGATGCGGGCGGTATCGAGGAGCACCGCCTTCTGCATTTGAGCCTGGAGCCGTTCGTCACGTAGTCCCAGCCGCCTCAGATGACCCGAGAGGCTGACTGGGATTAGCCCGTTTGCAGAGACGACTACAGGAATAATTTCGGTCGGCAGACCACCCCACATGTCGGTCACCTCGTGAGCCAGGTCCAGATATTTTGTTTGCTTATCTGTTTCGGCTTTCACGAAGTTCTCGTCATACGGAATGGTAATGTCGACCAAAAATATCCTTGACTGTGCCCGGTCCATCAGCACAATATCAGGCTTATTCGCAAGAATAGTCCTGTCTGTGATGATGGTCCGGTCCCAATAGAGCCTGGCGCGATCATTTTCGAGCACGGCTTCCGGCAAGTACTTGTAATACGGCAATTTCCGATCCACGAAACCGTATTTCAGAGCGAGCTCCTGGTGTAGAATTCTGGCTACTAGGTTGTGCCTGTGCAAGTACTCAGAGTTAGAAAGCGCCGAACAACCGGAGATGACATGCCTAAGTGACTCACCGGGATGGCGACAAGCTCGACAGATGTCGATGGTGCCATCCTTTAGGATGTATCTCCGATAGTTGTTGGTCTTAATAACCTGATCCTGTATTGCACAGACAAAACCCTCGGTTTCCCCCGAAGAGGTTACCAAAGCGTAGCCAGTGGATGGAGGTTACTGTGTCTACGAAAGGCACATGTAGAGACTTGTAGAACCTCCCGTGGAGCTCCTTCTCCTTCCATACGGTCTCCCGGTCGGAAATTGTCTACACTGCCGGGTCTTGCCATTGCTCGTTGGCTAAGGATATAGGGGTAAGTCCTTTATCACAAGAAATGATGTTCTTATAGAATGGATCATCCCATCTCGCCAGGAAGTAATTACGGAGGCTGCACACTTCGCGATTATGCATGGTGAGCGCGCTCAAGAGGCCACGCCCACCATGCTTTCGCGGCAAGTACAGCCTCATTACCGACGATCTCGGATGATGCATCCTGTGGGACGTCATGGTAGTGCGGACTTTTCTATCCAGGGCGTTAAGTTCAGTCTGAGTCCACCTGAGTATGCCAAAGGTATACATGAGGACAGGCATGACCCAGCCGTTATATGCTTGTGTCTTATTCACACCGGACAAAAGGCTGTTAAGCACTTTAGTCAAGCGTGCATAAAACACGTCGCAAACTGACTGTTTCATACCAGCCTCATCGATACCGATGTTCTGTGACATACCCAGGTATCGGTATGTTTCAGCCTCGGAAAGGGTCCTTAAGTTGACGGGCATAGATAAGTCTATGCCCTCAGAGTTAGCAACCCTTCCCCTCTCAACATGGAGTACCGCACACTTATCCGTCCCCAGCTCCATTCCAATGGAATTGCTAAATTCACAAGTGATGTTTAGCAATTCCATAAGATGGGAGCGACTGGAGGCGAATAACTTGAGGTCATCCATATAGAAAAGGTGGGTCACTTTTGTCCCTCCTTTCCGTAGCTGAAATCCCCTCCCGGAGCCCTCCAGTAAGGTACTGAGAGGGTTCAGAGAGAGGCAAAACCATATTGGACTCAGACAATCGCCCTGGAAGATACCCCTTCTTATCCTTATGTGGTTCTCCGCAGCCATCATCCGCTCGCCCAGATGACAAAGGATCGTACTCCACTGCCCCATACACTGCTCGAGGAAGTCTCTAACTGTACAGTCTATCTTGTACATTATTATTATTATTATGGGGTATCTATATAGTTTTCTCATCTGGTTGGGTTCTATAAATATATAATTATAAATGAAAATGAAAAGATAAATATACATAAATATCAATAACATAAAATAAATATAAAAGTACATAAATAAATAAAAGCCCAACCAGATGGAGGCCCTCGGCAGGGGGAGACCAAACGGCCGAGGGTTAGGGGGGAAAGGGAAAGAAATCGGCGGACGATGCGGGCGGTATCGAGGAGCACCGCCTTCTGCATTTGAACCTGGAGCGGTCCGCCACGTAGTCCCAGCCGCCTCAGATGACCCGAGAGGCTGACTGGGATTAGCCCGTTTGCAGAGACGACTACAGGAATAATTTCGGTCGGCAGACCACCCCACATGTCGGTCACCTCGTGAGCCAGGTCCAGATATTTTGTTTGCTTGTCTGTTTCGGCTTTCACGAGGTTCTCGTCATACGGAATGGTAATGTCGACCAAAAATATCCTTGACTGTGCCCGGTCCATCAGCACAATATCAGGCTTATTCGCAAGAATAGTCCTGTCTGTGATGATGGCCCGGTCCCAATAGAGCCTGGCGCGATCATTTTTGAGCACGGCTTCCGGCAAGTACTTGTAATACGGCAATTTCCGATCCACGAGACCGTATTTCAGAGCGAGCTCCTGGTGTAGAATTCTGGCTACTAGGTTGTGCCTGTGCAAGTACTCAGAGTTAGAAAGCGCCGAACAACCGGCGATAACATGCCTAAGTGACTCACCGGGATGGCGACAAGCTCGACAGATGTCGACGGTGCCATCCTTTAGGATGTATCTCCGATAGTTGTTGGTCTTAATAACCTGATCCTGTATTGCACAGACAAAACCCTCGGTTTCCCCGAAGAGATCACCAAAGCGTAGCCAGTGGAGGGAGGCTACTGTGTCTACGAAAGGCTCATGTAGAGCCTTGTAGAACCTCCCGTGGAGCTCCTTCTCCTTCCATACGGTCTCCCGGTCGGAAATTCTCTGCACTGCCGGGTCTTGCCATTGCTTGTTGGCTAAGGATAGAGGGGTAAGTCCTTTATCACAAGAAATGACGTCCTTATAGAATGGATCATCCGATCTCGCCAGGAAGTAATCACGGAGGATGCACACTTCGCGATTATGCATGGTGAGCGCGCTCAAGAAGCCACGACCACCATGCTTCCGCGACAAGTACAGCCTCATTACCGACGATCTCGGATGATGCATCCTATGGGACGTCATGGTAGTGCGGACTTTTCTATCCAGGGCGTTAAGTTCAGTCTGAGTCCACCTGAGTATGCCAAAGGTAAACATGAGGACAGGCATGACCCAGCCGTTATATGCGTGTGCCTTATTCACACCGGACAAAAGGCTGTTAAGCACTTTGGTCAAGCGTGCATAAAACACGTCGCAAACTGACTGTTTCATACCAGTCTCATCGATACCGATGTTTTGTGACATACCCAGGTATCGGTATGTTTCAGCCTCGGAAAGGGTCCTTAAGTTGAGGGGCATAGATAAGTCTACGCTCTCAGAGTTAGCAACCCTTCCCCTTTCAACATGGAGGGACCGCACACTTATCCGTCCCAAGCTCCATTCCAATGGAATTGCTAAATTCACAAGTGATGTTTAGCAATTCCATAAGATGGGAGCGACTGGAGGCGAATAACTTGAGGTCATCCATATAGAAAAGGTGGGTCACTTTTGTCCCTCCTTTCCGTAGCTGAAATCCCCTCCCGGAGCCCTCCAGTAAGGTACTGAGAGGGTTCAGAGAGAGGCAGAACCAGATTGGACTCAGACAATCGCCCTGGAAGATACCCCTTCTTATCCTTATGTGGTTCTCCGCAGCCATCATCCGCTCGCCCAGATGACAAAGGATGGTACTCCACTGCCCCATACACTGCTCGAGGAAGTCTCTAACTGTACAGTCTATCTTGTACAGCTCGAGGACTCTCTTTAGCCATGTATGGGGCACCGAGTCGAATGCCTTTTTGTAGTCTATCCAGGCGGCGGAGAAGTTCCGACGGTTGCGTTTCACCACTTTGCCAATGACCGCGTCAATGAGGAGTGGTTCCTTGGTTCCACGGTACCACCGCCCCGACATCCATTTTGAGCGCGCGACATCACCTGATTTGAGTCCAGGTGACAAGTGATTCTCGCGCTCAAAATGGATGTTAGTGTCTTGTATGTGGTCGGTAGACACGTGATGGGGCGGTATTTGCTCGGGTCTGTAGTACCCTGGTCTTTAGGAACCAAATGAGTGATCCCAGTAGTGAAGAGGCTTGGGAGCGACTTCTGGTTGAGAGCCTCTTGAAACTGTCGGGCGAGCACAGAGTGACACACCATGAACCCCTTCAGCCAGTAGTGATGCAGCCCGTCAAGCCCCGGACTTTTCCAGTTCGGGGCCCTACGGACCGCCTCAGCTACGTCATCCGGCGTTATGATGACGGGGTCCATGGGCGTAATACCCGCACACTGACTCGCCACAACTTCCGTCCAAGGGCCCTCGCTGTGGTTTACGGGCTCTGACCACAGGCCGCGCCAGAATGCCGCGCCACTTACCATTGGTCGCTCCAATGATTCATAGAGCCTCTTCTGATCACTCTGAAAGAGACGATTCTGGTTGAACCGTGTCGACCTCTCGGTATATCGCCGAATCCGCTTTCCCCAAGCAGCGATTCTCTGCTTCAGATCATCTATGCGCTCCGTCAGTTTTTGCGTTATATCCGGCTGGGACAAACTGACATTTATCCCAGCAAACGCCATCCTAACGGTGCGCATAATTCTTGGCCTGTTGTTGCCTGATCTGAAGCATATCAGTCTGCCGATGAGAGCTCTAGCCTTTGCGATACGTTCCTCAATTCTTCTTCTCCATGCTGGGATAGCGCTACTATGGCCAGTAGCACGTCCAGCCGTGGAAACCTTGGCGCCTATGATACGGCAGACTGCCTGCGCGGCGCCAAAAAGAATTGAGTCCGTCTCGCAAAGGTCCCGGCTGGCTTCCAAATAGGTCACCAGCATTGGGTTCAGAGCCCTCACGACAGCCCGATTCCACTTTCTTAGGGCTATGCGGGGAAGTCGCGGTCGATTTTCGAGAGGCGTACTGCGCGTTTCCACAATCGCCTCTTCCAATGTACTCCTCATATGCTCTAATTCCAGTTCCTGGGCGACTGTTCCATCATCGTTTGAATCAACAAAAACTGGGGTATTCACGGCGACATCCACGTTTGCGGGTTGCTCTACCATATGTGGCGCCGCATCCTCAGCCGTAGCATTCTCATCCGACGAGGGAACAGCCTCACATCGTAGCCGTTCGAGTTCGGCGACATCAAATATATTTGAGCGCAAGATATACCGAACTCGGTCTGCCAGGTTTTGCTCTGTGACGGTTAAAGATGGCTCCAGCTCAGCAAAAAGACGATGCATCCTAGCCCGATACGCCAAAGATCCAGTTTCTCCCCCTATCGCCCTAAAATACGCCCGCAATGCGTTGCTGTTCATCTGGGTTGTCCAACGCATGCGGCGTACTCCACCACAGGCGGGTGCCGATTGCTGGGCCCGCGAAGACCCTGCCGACACCAAGCCAGCTGGTGGGGATGATGGATGCGAGGGGCTGCTGGGTGGTCGTGCAGCACCACGCGCTCGGCTGGCGGTTCGCATGCTGCCGCGTCCAGCGCCAGCTCCAGACGCGCCCTGGCGACCTCCAGGCAGCGGCCCTTTGCGCGTTCTATTTAATTCCATCATCCATTTTTAGGGCGTCATTTAGCGGGAGACGCCCAGACCCGGCGCCGTTTCATGTTGAGGCCATGTGCACAAGCGGGCCTTTGCACCTTCAATTTTTGCCGAGACACGGCACTAACACCTCTTGGCAACGTGCTGACTGACTGCGCTGACGTAGCGGTTTTGTCACATTACCGGTACGTCAGCGGGCGATGGGGTCGTCACTTCCCTACGCCTTATTATTATTATTGGGGTATCTATATAGTTTTCTCATCTGGTTGGGATGTGTAAATATATAATTATAAATGAGAATGAAAAGATAAATATACATAAATATCAATAACATAAAATAAATATAAAAATACTTAAATAAATAAAAGCCCAACCAGATGGAGGCCCTCGGCAGGGGAGACCAAACGGCCGACGGTTAGGGGGGAAAGAGAAAGAAACCGGCGGACGATGCGGGCGGTATGAGGAGCACCGATTTAATTTTATTATTATTATTATATGATCACTTATATTATCACAAAACTATAATATTATAAATATAAATACAATCTATATAAATAATATTATTATTTCGGCTATTATCCACCGCGGCGAGGAATTCTAAGCCATCGGTGAAGTTAGGCATCCAAAGATAGGAACCTTCTTACTATTCGAGCCGTATTTAATAAGGCCGATTTTTGAATTAATGCTTTCAGCATTTTTTGCCCAAACCTAACTTGGACAGATAATCGTCCATATTTTTACCAATAAGTCCATTGACTGAAACAACTATTGGTACAATAATAGTAGAATCAACGTCCCACATAGCGACAATCTCATGAGCCAAGTCGATATATTTTATTTATCATTCTCTGCTTTTACGAGATTCTCGTCATGAGGAACACTGATATCCACTATTATTGCCTTGCGTGTAGTTCGGTCTATCACCACAATGTCAGGTTTATTTGCCACTATAAACCTGTCTGTGATAATTGACCGATCCCAGTACAGCGTGACACTTCTATTTTCAAGGACTGGCTTTGGTTCATACTTATAATATGGAACATCCTGTTGAGTAAAGCCAAATTTAATGGCAAGCTGTTGGTGTATTATTCTAGCTACTTGGTAATGTCTGTGCAAATACTCACCATTTGATAGTTGTGAACAACCGGAAATAATATGTCTGAGGGACTCTCCAAGGTGGTGACATGCGCGACATACGTCAACTGTGCCGTCCTTCAAAATGTATTTTCGGTAGTTGTTCGTTTTAATTACTTCATCTTGTATTGCACAGATAAAACCTTCAGTTTCTGAAAAAAGGTCACCAAATTGTAACCAATGTACTGATGCAACCATGTCTACATAAGGATTAGTCAATGCTTTAAAAAATCGACCATGCAGTTGTTTGTCATACCAAACCTTTTTTGCGTTCATCTATAGTCATAGTATGAGGCCTCTGCCAGTCCTTTGCCGACATATTAAGCGGGGTTAATGATTTGTCATTAATCACTACGTCATTATGAATGTGTGATGTGTCTTTTTTTAATAAAATAGTCTCTGAGGTTGTATACTTCACGGTTGTGTAGGTTTTTAATGTTTAATAAGCCCCGTCCACCATCTTTTCTTGGAAGATACAACCTCATGACAGATGATCGTGGGTGGTGCATTCTGTGCGTAGTCATTAATGTACGGACTCGTCTATCTAAGTCATCCAATTCCGTTTGAGACCATCTTGTAACGCCAAAAGTATATAGAAGGCTAGGTATTACCCAGGAGTTATATGCTCTAATTTTGTTTCCGCCGGATAAATGACTTTTGATAACTTTTTTTAATCTTGACATAAATTTTACTTTTGAATTTTCTTTAATATTTTTGTCATTAATTCCTAGCGCTTCTGCCATGCCCAAGTATTTATAGGTTTCTGTTTCAGAAAGAGAACTGAAATGTAAGTCATTTGTAATTGCAAAATTATTACAATCTTTAATTTTGCCCCTATTTACGTTGATGACAGCACATTTATCTATTCCAAATTCCATTCTAATATCATTGTTGAAACTATGTGTTAATTTCAACAATAATAGTAGATTACTCTCTTTTGATGTGAATAGTTTGAGATCATCCATATAAAGTAGATGTGAGATCGGTGAGTTTTCTTTTCGAAACCGAAACCCTAATCCGGATTCCTCAATAGCAGTGCTTAAAGGATTCAGGGCTAAACAAAACAAAGTTGGGCTCAAACTATCGCCCTGGAATATACCCCGTTTAATATTTAAAGAGTCTATCGAACTACTTTGCCACTCACCTGGTAGATTTAGGACAGTGTTCCACTGACCCATTACTTTACTTAAAAACTTAGAAATTTTGTCATCTATTTTATATATTTCTAAAACTCTCTTTAGCCATGAATGTGAAACAGAGTCATATGCCTTTTTGTAATCCACCCAAGCAGCGGACATATTTTTGCGATTACGAAAGACTTGTCGGCAAATAGCTGTGTCAATGAGAAGAAGTTCTTTACAACCACGTGACCCTTTCCGACATCCGTTCTGTGCAGTTGAAAGAATGTTATTATTTTCCAAATGTTTATAGATCTTCTTATTCAAAATTGCAGTTATTAATTTGTATACAGTTGAAAGGCATGTTATTGGTCGGTAATTATTAGGGTCCGTGGTGTTTCCATTTTTATATAGTAAGTGGGTAATACCAGTTGTAAGAAGTCTCGGGAGCTCACAGCACTCAATGGCTTCTTGAATCTGTGCAGCCAAACGCACATGGCTACTTGTTATCCATTTCAGCCAAAAGTTGTGTATACCATCTGGTCCAGGTGATTTCCAGTTGTGTAATCTACGAGTAATTGAGTTTACATCTTCAGCAGTAATTGAAATAGAACCCATGTTAGCCAAATTAGAAAACTTACGTTCGGTTGCACGAATCCATTCGCCTTCATTATGAGAAACTTCGTTAGACCATATACTTTTCCAAAAATTTAGACATTCATTTAAGTTTGGGCTGCCATGAGTACAACTATTAGTTGTAGTGTTCTCCCAAGACCGATACACCCACTTTTGGTTACTTTCGAATGTGCGATTCTGGAAGTACCGTTTAGATCTTTCTGAATATCGTCTAATACGGTTGGCCCATGCTTTTAACTTTTGTTTTTGTGTATCAATGAATTCAGTAATTTTATCCGGAAAATGGGGATCTGATTGGTTAATATCATTTTCATTAGCGATTTGATTTACTAAAGTAATTATTTTTTTACGTCTGTTACCTGTTTGGTAGCTTATTAATTTTCCTATAATTTTGCGAGTATTGTCAATTCGTTTTTGAATTCTTTGTTTCCATTTAGGTTCTCTATTGTTTTTCTTAAAATTTTGTACTGAAATGACAGGAATTTTCATTATCATACATATAGCATGGGCACAACAGTATAGAAGAGACATAGTTTCCAAAATAGAGTCACTTTTTTCAAAATAATCTTTACATAGAATATTCATTGATGCTACTGTTAGAATAGTTTTTTTGTTGTTAGGAAGTTTAGGGAGTTTCGGTCTATTTTCTATTGGTGTATTTTTATATTCCAGAAGGGAACATTCGAAAGTCCTTTTCATATATTCGCTGTCTTGGGAACTCACATCTATATCAAAACAGTTTTGCTCTACTTTTTCGTTATTTAAGTTAGTAATATTTATATTATGGTTACTGTTATTTACATTTAAGTCATCAGTCTCACCTGGAAGTGTTCGTTGGGAATCAGGAATTGAATTGATAGTAGATGTTGAGTACTCACTGCAAAGTTGTTCAATTAATCTGTCGTCCAAAATCTTACGACTTAGAATTACACGTACTTGATCTGAAAGTCTTTGGGCAGTTAAGTTTGTTAGGTTGGGTTGTAGCTGTTGGAATTCAGACAGCATTTTAGGGCGATAAGATGTAAGATTGGTTCCTCCTTTGGTAGCCTTATACATAGTACGCGCGCATAACACTTATATTTAATTCTTTAGTCCAGCGCATGCGTCGTCGCACTACACCATCAGTAGCGGGGTCCTCATGTAGGATGGTAATTCCTGCAGGTCCCAAGCCAGCCGCTGGCGCTCTTCGTCCCCTCAAAGATGGTACGGGGGTTCTTCTTGTGCCTCTTGCATTACATTCCATGGATGTGTAGTCCTCCGTAGGCGATGTTACGTGTGCGATTGTGGTATTGGCGGTATTTATTCGTATTTGTCGTCTCGTTCGATGCATAATGTAACGTTAAATTAAATATTTTATAAATCTGTTTGTAAAATTTCTTAGATGACAGTTGTCAATTTGAAAGAAATACATTTTTCTTGAAATTAGTTTCTTATCCACAGATTTTTAAAGTTTTATTTATATTGATATTGTAAAATCTATTTGCGTTGAGAATTTGTTATTTGGGAACATGAAACATATGCTACAAAATTCATTTTTAAAATTTTGTACTGACTGCATCATTTACTTTTGACAACGTCCGCCATTTTTATTATTATTATTATTATAGGGACTCTAGTGCTTGTGTTAGGATCAACGGGGTCTACTCGGACTGGTTTGACATCCATAAAGGTGTCAGACAGGGCTGTGTGGCTTCCCCGTGGCCGTTCAACCTATTTATGGACAGTTGTTTGCAAAATTTGAAAGTTGAAGAATGCGGATTAAGAATGGGTGAGTTAACCGTCAAATGCCTTTTGTACGCCGATGATCAAGTTATTCTTGCGTCGTCGGCGGCCGAGTTGCAAATGATGGTTACATTAATGAACGGATCATTAAAAGAAAGGGGTATGAAAGTGAACGCAAGTAAGACGAAGGTTATGGTTTTTGAAAGAGAAGAAAGTAAAACGATTTGTGAAATAAGAATAGAAGGGGAGTTGATCGAGCAAGTAGATGAGTTTGTACATTTGGGCTGCGTATTTAGCAGGGATGGGAGATATGATAAGGATATAGAACGACAAGTGAATGCGGGAAATAGAGTAAATGGGACCTTGCACTCTATTGTGAAGAGTCAAAATGTGTCGAAAAAGGCACGTATGGCAATTCACAATGCTGTGTTGATCCCTACTTTAACGTATGGTAGTGAAAGTTGGGTGTGGCAGAAGAAGCACGAGAGTAGAATAAATGCAGTAGAAATGCGGTCGTTAAGGAGTATGTTAGGGCTGAATCTGAATGACAGGGTAAGAAATTGTGTAATAAGAGAAGAGTGTGGTTTGCAAGATGATGTTGTGACCAGGATTAAGAAAGGAATGCTTCGGTGGTTTGGTCATGTGGAAAGAATTAATGAGGAAAGAGTGACAAAGAAAATTTATGGTGCAGAAGTGAATGGCAGAGTCGGAAAGGGACGTCCTAGGCGAAAATTTATCGACCAAATTGGCGATTTATTGAAAACGGGCCAAATTAGGAGTACCCTTAACCGACGAGCATGTATGCGTAGGTGTATGGATCTGAAGGAGGCAAGAGAGGTGTGTCAGGATCGTGCCAAATGGAAGTCTGTAGTCTCTGCCTACCCCTCTGGGTGACAGGCGTGAGTGTTTATATGTATATTTTATTATTATATTGAGAGGTTCTATGGGCAGCTGTACACATCATCGTTGGAGCAACACGCAAGTGTGAGTAACGATCCAAGAGCAAGTCTTATCCGACACTATTCCGATTATATCCCGGGCGTCAGTCTAAGCGAGATTAGAATGGCTCTCCAGCACTTTAAAAACGGGCGAGGATTGAATTACAGCGGAGCTTCTGAAAGCGGGTGGAAAACCGGTACTGCCGTTTCTTCTAATAAATTTAATAATTTTTCACTCATTTTTACGTTTTGTAATAGAAAAAAGCAATTCAATTTAGAACGCTAACGATGTTAACAATATTGCACTTAACAAGCCGTAGCTATCATCATGTATGTATCATGTATTTCACAAATTTTAAAAATTTGTCTCCTAACTATGTAATAATCAAAGTATCTTTTATAATAACAAAAAGTAGTTTTAAACTTGGCTAAGATACTAATTCTTTACCTAAAACAGCCTTCAACAGAAACATTAATCATCAAATGTTTATTGAACATAAGAATAATAATAATCTCTCTCTCAAACATAAAATATCTCTTATAGGTAACAACATGAAGTATTTGTAACACATTGTGACCAAACGATACTTCAATTTAATATTTTACTTAATTCTAGTCACAAAGATTTTGCCGGTCTCGTTTCAATTATTTTCAACATTTTTTTGTAATCACAATCAGCTAAACACTTACAGCCCTATTAATAAACACAGATTTGAGCAAGATTAACTTTACTCCTAGTTTAAAGCTTAAAATATCTAATTTCAGTATTAATAAACATAGAGTAAACTAATCCGAATCTACTCTCGAAATAAAAGTTAATCCTTGGCGGTACCTAGTTTAACGACTGAGTAAGCATAGACTAGTCGCGTATTTTGACATTTTGTAAAACTTTACGTACGTTTACACGCGTTGGTACCCATGTTAAATTCATAAGTGCACTAGTAAGAAAAACAGCATAATGGATTAAAATGACAAGAAGTGATGTGGATCAGAACAAAGTGATTGGAGGTTTTTATTCATTATATGGATTTAGACAAGTGATTGGGGCTATTGATTGCTACATATTCTAATCTCGAAAGTCGCTGGAAATATCGAGCAATACTACATAAACAGGAAAGGATACAGTTCAATAAATGTACAAGTAAGTTTTATAGCACCTAGCTAGCCCATCTTTGCCGTATAGGTACTTAGTTATTTTCTTAGATTCAACACAATCACCTCAATCTATTATTTCATATTAAAGAAGTTATGAGTGCTTTGTTCCAGGTTGTGTCAAATGCAAATTTAGAGTTCATGGATACAGTGGCACATTGGCAAGGCAGCACACATGACTCAAGAATATTTAAAGAAAGTCGCATTAAAACAAACGTTTGAGAATTTAAAGGCAGACTTCTCGGAGATTCTGGTTGTGCTTGTACTCCTCATTTATTCCTAATAAACAAAAGGAAGAATGTACAACCGGTCGCACATCTGGTGGACCCGTTACACTATAGAACAATGCTTTGGAGGGAAGCAAAGGTTTCTGTGTTTACTGCGAGGACTAAATACTAAATAAGAGCATACAAAACTATATACATTGCAATGCAAAAGCAAGATCTGTTTGAGGATGTAGTATAAGGAGATGAAAATATATCAGTCACACAATTAGTAAATAACTCCGTTAGAGGAAATTCTGTTCGAGCAGCATTTATTAACGATTTTTTAAATAAGTATACAATAATTACATGTACAAAAGATTTTATTCATGCCCAAAAAACAAAACAAAAATGGTTATTTAATTAATTTTGCCCTTCACGCTCTTTTCTTAATGCTAAAATTTCGTTACAAATAATATTAAAAATGATTATATTTAGAACTTAGTTTTTCCACCGAGTCCGAAAACAACACGAGGAACTAGGAACAACACGTAACACTTATCTCTTGTCAAACTCAAAATATTGCCTGTCACTGTCATTAATGTCATCATCAAGCATTGAGTTCATTCAATAATCATTCACTGACTCACTCTTTTTACTTTTAAAATAAGTGGGTTGCCATAAGGCAAGCGTTAATCCCGGCGTAAGGAATGTATAGTTAGTCCGAGGTTACTCCATGCTTATTAATAACATTGTAATAACGAAGTAAATAGTCAGTTACTCTGAGATTAGCTAGTCCAAGTTTAACTTCGAATTAAGCTTGGAATAAGCAAATTTTATTAATAAGGCAGCCAGGGCATGTAAATAATGTAGATTAACCTTTAATACATCCACCGTGTGCCCAATTATTACATATTAGACACCGGACACAGTCATTTCCTTTCTTGTATCTTTACTGTAGAGGACACCACATATAAGGCACTCGCAGTCACTGAGCTCGTATTTATTTGTCTGTGCTTTTTTTAATTCATTTTCTTTATGTTTGTTTTCTAGAATTAAGACATTTGTTGTAAGCGGAGATGTAATAGGTCATTTTGAATGTATATTTGTGCTTGAATAGCTGAATCGAGTGGCATATTATTCAGCTGTGCAGCTATGCTTTTGCCAAAAACATATAACTCATTTCTGAGCGATTTGAGCTAGTGCCAGTGTTTCCTATAACATCAGCAACCAGTTTTGCTCTGGTTACTATGTTGTCCAGTTGCCTTAGGCCGGCCATAGACGGACCGCATGTTGCAGTCGAGACCGACTGCTCTAGAGCGGTAGCGTTGAAGTCGTACACGACTGCAACACGACCGCATAATGCAGTCGACTACGACTGCTTGGAGCAGTTGTGTTCGACCGCAAAATAATACTGATGCGAGTTCATTTACAAGATGGATTTCGATGAAGAAACGCTGCTTCTTGTACTACTATTACGCAAGCGTAGGCGTAGAAGACACCGTAGTATGTGGGTGCGTCCAATACTACAATCAAGAGAACAGCATGGAATATTTCATACTTTGTATCCCCAGCTGAGAGAAGACGCTAAAAAGTTTTTCAACTATTTAAGAATGTCCGTGGTTTCATTTGATGAATTAGTTACTATTTTAAGCCATAAAATACAACGGACAAATTCCAAAATGAGAAAAAGCATTGCACCTGAAGAAAGGATCGCAGTAACATTAAGGTAAGAAACAATGTTTTTTACACAAATTTTATTATACGCAACATTACAGTGTATTATTTCAAATTATCAGAAAATGCTATGTATCGACGACTGCGATGCTTCAGTATCAGCAGGAGACAAAACATCTGTTTCTTCAAGTCTCGTAGTTTGTAGTGGTCGGCTGGTACATGCTTGAGGAACTCCAGTGCTGTAGCCAATGGTGATATCAGTTTGTAGTGGTCGATTGGTAGATGCTTGAGGAGGTCCAGTATTGTAGCCACTACTGAAATCATCATAGCTTGGCTGCGAGTAGGATGACGATGACTGATGGCTGAACTGCGAGTATGAGGGCTGGTGATAGTTAAACTGTGAGCGTAATGAGGTCTGATTAGAATATAAATTGACGTCAGAGGATAACACTTTGAATTTTTTTATAACTTTCAGTATGTCTGTCTTAGCATCTAATTTGTAGTCGTCAGAAATTTTTTTAAAGTCACCGTGTAGAGCCATAAGAAATAATTTGTCATCATCGGTTTTATCATCAAATGTAGTTTCGTTGTATTTTTTATTCAAATTTATCGCCAGTTGTGTAATTAAATTGTCTTCTTTGGACGTACTAGTCCTCTTACGACCACGCTGTGGTATTTTCTCTTCAGTAGCTGCATCTTCAGTCGATTCATTTTCCAAACTATCTGCAGTACCAGCTTTCTCCTCCGTCAATGGCAACAAGAATGACAACTGATGATAGTAAACATACTGTCGTAGTTTAATAGCTCCCGAGCCACTCTTAATTTTTTTTTGTTTTATTGACATAACGTCTAAAGCCATCTCTTAACACTTTCCACTTTTTTTTGAAGAGCTTTTGCTGGAAATAAAAAAAAATTTTACAGTTACTTGGCAACAGGGTGCACTTTCGCTGAATTAGAATACAACTATAGAATTTCGGCATGTACAATAGGGGAAATAGTGAAAGACGTGTGCGAAAATATTTGGAAGTATATGAAAGATATTTGTTTTGAAGCACTAACCCAAGATAACTGGAAAAATATAAAAAGTGGTTTCCAAAGACGCGCCAACTTTCCAAACTGCTTGGGGGCGATCGATGGTAAACATGTAAGAATTATAAAACCAACTGATAGCGGTTCCTTGTACTATAATTATAAACACTATTTTTCTTTAGTGTTGATGGCCGTCTGTGACAGTGACTATAAATTCACTTTCATAAATGTTGGATCATATGGAAGACACGCTGACTCGACAGTATTTGAAGACACTGAATTCTACAAAAAACTACAAAGAAACACGCTGAACATTCCTGCTCCTACAAAAATAACAACAACAGGTCCAGTTTTGCCTAACGTATTTGTCGCCGACGAAGCTTTCGGTTTACAAGAAAATATTATGAGACCTTTTGGAGGAAAACTATTGCACATAAAAAAAAGAATTTTTAACTGTAGACTGTCTCGGGCCCGAAGATACATCGAATGCACTTTCGGCATACTTTCTAACAAATGGCACATAATCCATCGGCCATTAAACGTGTCTGTTGAATTATCTAAAACGATAGTCAAAGCATGCTGCATTCTTCACAACTTTGTGCGTGAAAGAGACGGCTACAACTTCGAAGATTGTTTGACAATAACGAGTTTTGAAGACCAAGCATTGCAACAAAACGTCCAGCAAGGAGGACCAGCGCTGAACTCTATCCGGAATAAATTCGCTGACTACTTTGTAAGTGAAGAAGGACAATTAGATTGGCAATGGAAATTAGTATAGCATTTAACTATAACAAGCATATTATGGAAAGAAACCGCGGATAACAGCTTTAAGATTGTTTACTAGAAATAATATTTGAGCTAAACAGCTAAAATTTAATAAAAAATTATGTGTACCTACTTACCAATATCATTTTTTTCCTTTACACTTTTTTCGTTGAAATCAGGATCAAATTTCTCGCATAAGGCTCTCCATGCACCATCTTTCTTTATTTTGTCACTGTTCAATTCACTGCTGTAGTTCCAGATACATTCGTTTTCTTTAATTTCATTAATAAACAATTCGTCGTCTATATTTTCGAGAACTTTCGCCATTTTGGATGACAAACGAACAATCGACCAACATAAACAAAGGAAGCGAGTCCAGTGCGTGAGGTTTGTAGGGGGAGTGAGGCGGGAGCGGACTGAACCGGTTGCCTGCCGAGAGGAAGGGATGGGTACTCAGCTGCGAGCGGGGAGGGAGTGGCGCGCGGTCGGCAGCAACCGCTTGTTGCGGTCTGTGTATTGTGGGTCCGGCAGCTCTAAGCAGTCGACCGCACGGCGAAACTCGCTCGCAGAGCGACTGCTACGCGAGCTGTCTACGGCCGGCCTTAATGTTCTCTTCCTAGCTGGCGTGTTTCTTTTTGGGATGTTCAGCGTTTCCAGTTTCACTGCATTCATCTGCTTGATCATACATTGTTTTTCTGAATTTGTAAACCTGTGCTCAATTTGATCTGGGATAGATTCTAGCCTTGAAGCATATTCATCCTTATATTCTTCATAAATGGGAGGATTATTTTTTAAGCAAATAGGGAATAACAATTAATTGGAAAATTCTGTTTGTTTATAATTAAATATGATTTGTTACAGGAGTCTAACAATGTAGAAGGATCAATCCATACATAAGAAAACCCGCAAGCACTTTTGTATAAAGAAAGTGTGGACAGTTGATGGGATAATTTATGTCAAACTGCCCAATAATGAAAGGGCGATGAACTCCTCGGAGGAAAAGTTGGATATTCTTATTGAAAAATTTCCTGCAATTAGTTCTCCGGCTACTTAAGGCTTGGCTTCTGAAGATATTGACACTAGAGCCGTTTGTTTTGGTTTTGTAGTTCACAACTGGGGAAGAAAATCCACAATATAGGTACATGTTGTTACTGTTGAATTTGAGTACGAAACTGGCGCAATTGAAACAGGAAGTTGGAGGGACGTCCCTATTCACCAGTATATCCAGAACCGGTCGTCCAACAATGCTCAAGCTTTTAGCGAAAACTACGCTAATTATTTTGTGCATGATGGTGCAGTTCCGTGGCAGTCAAAATGATCTGTTAGTTTTGTTTTTAACAATGTTGATACTAGTATTTAGATTAATTGATAAAACAGCAAACATGTTTTACACCCTTTCAGTAAGTTGTTGAGCTTAAAAAGTAGGAAGGTTCGTCCCAGAAAAGTTTTTCGTAAATATTCCTTGTCACCTTAATAATATGTTAAAATTGTTATCGATATAAGTAACAATATACTATTTTGTAATAAATAATTGAGTAAGCAATGTGTCAAATAAATGATAGTTTGTGTACGCTTGTCTACCGCCTGATTAAAACTAGAAAAAAAAACTTACCAAATTGCTCTGATTTTCTTTACATACCTTTTACTGCATTAAATGCCTCGTCCATTAATTGAAACCGCTTGATGTTTGAAATATATGTATCCATGGCTCCCGCCCCTGATCTACAGGAGTCTTTAATTTTCTTCTTTTCTTGGCCGATTTGATGCTTCTTAACTTCGTATACACTTCTTTAGCGTCGAAACCGGGCATTGCCATTAAAAAAAGAAACAAAAAAGGAAATTAAAAAAAGGAAAATTAAAGATAAAAAACGTCCACTAAGGCTGATTGATTATACAGGAACTATATCAAAAAATATTAACCACTATTAATAATAATAAGTATTTACAATTATGCATACGTACATTTTCTATGCGTCGTGTAAAATATGTTTGTAATGAATCAGTCACAGAGTACTTTTGTATGGAATCAGTTTGCAATAAACACTCTTCAGAGCAAAACGTTATTTTATTTACAAAATCTATAGTCAGTCAGTTTAGAATCCTAAATACAATAACATATGGTCGAATCAAAGCCGGATCAATAGTTGTTTACAACATCGAGAGGCCGGCAACTAAGAACAATAGTGACTTCATTCACAAGGCCCTCGCTAAAGATATTGAACACAACGAACACCATCAATAAATTTTTACATTTGTCCTACACCGCCACAATCCACAACATCACCAAATTCCAACATAGTAAGTACGAGTACATTACAGCCCACACCATCATCAATTTATCATTCTGATTCTGAGAATGTTATAACTTTGTATGGGCCAGATGCTTCGGAGACAGAGGGAGATATTTTATCACGGGCTATAAAATCAATAAAAGATTAGAACATACTTATTTCTGAATTGTTTTTACTAAATTACATAATAGTTTTTTTCGAGGGTTGGTGTAAAACAGATAACATCTGAAATTATCTCTCGTATTTTATTTCCATTTAAAATAAGTATAATTAACTTTACTGTTTAATTTTTAACTCCAGTTTGAAAAAATCAGTTTCAGCATTACTATTACTTATACGTATGAATTGTTTTTGCTCCAATACTTTATAAGAGAAAATTTACACAAACCCATTGCCATCACAACTGCCAGAAATGTTTTCATTTCCTGAAAATTAGTATCAGTCCACTGTTTCATACGTGATTTACGTTTCATATTTAGTTAGTTTGTTCGTAAATAGTTTCGTGTATAATTGTTTGTCTCAGACACCATTTTATTGATCATCTCTTCTGTTACACATAGTTTATATACATCTTCATGTAATTTTACAAACGGTGGTATATTGTAGGCATTTTCACCAACAAATTTATCAAAATTTAAGTGACTTTCTCATATGTCTTTCCACTCGTCATCACCGTTCTTGTTATTTTGGCGGCTGGATAATGCCTCTTTGTTGTCCAAAGTTTCGTTTTCTGTATTTTCATTTTCATCTGAAGAAAATTACTGTTCTGTTCCTATGCAACCCTCTAATGAATTAATATCGGATTCTTCCAAATCGCTTGAATCATCATCATCATCCCCGCTGTCACTAAAATTTTGGATATTATTACAATTATTTACATCAGGTACTTTTAGAATATCTGGTAAATTATCAAGAGTTCTGTTTTCAATTATTGTCTCACTGTCGCTATTCAAATGTTCAAATCTATCATACCATCGTACCACCACCATATCATACAACACACACACACACACACACACACACACACACACATACACATACACACACACACACATACACACACACACACACACACACACATACACACACCATCACTTACACACATACACACACGCACACACACACACACACATACACACATATATACACACACACGTACACAACAACACACACACACACGTACGCGCGCCACACACACACACACACACACACACACACACACACACACACACACACACACACACACACACACTAACACACAACAACACACACACACACACACACACACACACACACATACACACACGCACATACACACACATACACACACATACACACAAACACACACCCACACACACATACACACCTGCTCACGCACACACACACACACACACACACACACACCTGCTCACGCACACACACACACACACACACACCGACACTTACACACATACACACACGCACACACAGACACACACCGACACTTACACACATACACACACGCCACACACCCACACACACACACACACACACATACACACACACACATATACACACATACATACATACACACTAACACACACACACATACACACACGCACATACACACACATACACACAAACATACACACACAAACACACACACATACACACCTGCTCACGCACACCCATACACACACGCACACACCCACACACACCCACACACACATACACACACATACATATACACACTAACACACACACACATACACACACGCACATACACTCACATACACACACATACACACAACATACACACACACACACACACACACACACATACACACACCATGCACGCAACACTTTTTCTTCATTACTTGATTTTTGTTTACTGCATGTTAGTTAACTGTTAACTGAATCCTAATTATTCTTAAGTCACCAGAATCTATTGTAATTGTACCACTAATAGGGGGAGACACTGGCTTATAAGATACAACTAGTTTCGATGCCAGGGTTCCATTTAATTGTTAAAAGATTTCTGGCAAATACATATTTTGTTATTATTGCAATATTATTATTATTAACCAAAACCTGTGTCAAGAAAATATTTACTGCCTGCTGGATGTTACAGTGAGGAGTCAAATCAAATTACACATAAATATGGTCTTTCATAATATTATGCGTAGCGAATATACTCCTATGGCGTCACCTAATGGCATTATTAACAATTTTGGTAATATAGAACTCATTCCATCAGTTTCGTCTTTGCAACCAGATGTTTCTGAATACATTGTGACCCGAAAATGATAAGATTCGCTGTTGATGAAACAACCGTATTCACTGTTCACGTTTTAATAATAGACTAAATTCCTTAGTACAGAAGCCACACAGATTGTATTCGATTACACCTTAACAATAGATGTCGTTACTTATACCTTAGAGTATGTATGTAATTACTTTAAGTGTTATACGCTTCATCTTAACATATTTAGATATACACAATCAATACCCCCACTATATCAAAACAAGAAAAAAAAACATAAAATATTATTTTTGTTGAACTCCCATCATATTCCAAACTTTACAATATTTCACATGGCTTAAAGACTTTCAGGCTTATTCATAAAAATCCACTAAAATGGCGTTATAACAGTAATAAGTTAAAAAGCTCAATAGTACTCTTAAACCAATTATAAAATTCTTTATTCATAAACGTTTAATAAACCTGTCATAGTTAAATCATATTTATGGAATACTTTAGTTTTATTATGTTGTCATTCTAATGAATCCTTCGCTAGCCACGTAAAAAAAATTTTGACAGCAATTATGACATTTCCGTCAAAACAAGCGTGGTGTTTTCGTTAAATCGGTTCAAGAAAATGATTTGACTTTTATTTTATACTCAATAAAATAATGGAAAACATGTAAAAAGCGACAAAGAAGTGAAAATTGGCTGGAGGAAGATAAGGTTAGTATGTGACTAAAGTAATTTTCTCATAGGTGCTTAGTGCACAAATGTTAATATCTTTTTCTTTCCATTGCATTTATTCATGGATT